AACAGGAGTCACTGGCCTGCCCAGCAGACACTGTAGCCACAGAGACCATTTATTATTCTTCAGTTTAGTTTGTAAAAAGCAATTTCTCTTTTTTTAAATATATAATCATTTGTATATGCTGTGTACCCTAAGAAGAATGACTTTCAATATTATTTGATTAATTGAATGTTGATTTCTTGAAATATAGTTTTTAGTTGTCCACCTAAGCTTGAGCAAAGAAAGCAGTGTAGGACTTCATACCATTTATTCTGTCCTTGATAATCTAATCCTGATTTGCCTAATCAGTAGTCTATCTAGAGGGGGAAACATATTTGTCCTTTATTGTGATTATTCACAAACTAAGGTTTTCTCAAACTGGAAAATGGGTGTCACTGAGTATTAAGGGTTTTTCTAGAATGTCTAAAACCCTTTTGTACCCCTTTTTTTAGTTGAGCAGTCATGGTTGTCTAAATATCTATTAGTCTGATGAATAGGGAACAACAAAAAGATGTCTAGATCTACACAATTAGGGTACAGTTAACTTAAGTTTGTAAGAGGATTGGCAATGGCCCTCTGTACAGAGGAACCTCCAACCACAATATTGCACACACACACACACACACACACACACGTACGTATGAAGAGTGAAGTGTAATTTGAAAAAAAAGAACCCTAACAAATGTCAGCAATTAACTAGACCCTTACCTTTCCCCAAAAGGGCAGGGGCCTGAACAAAACCGGAACCATGTTCATTTAACGCACTGCACCTCAGTTTACCCCTATATTGAGTTCCAATACCGTCCTTTTAAGTGTCCATAAGCGCAATAGGTTACACTGGGCCACCCTAGTTTAATGCACCTAATATACACTAGTTCCTCAGTTAGTATTTAGACTACAGTTCAGTTACTCTTCTTTGTTTGATGCATCAATGTTATGTGGTACCAGGCCTGACCCGAATTTTTTTTTTTTAAGTAACAAATAAAACATTGAAATCTCAACGTAGAAGGAAAAGACACAAATCTTCGCAAAAGAAAATGAAATTCTTTGTAGGTCCTACCACCCTCCTGGAAACAGGTGGCCATTGGAATATGGAGCATCCTCTGTTGGCATCTCAGGTGACATCCACTTCTTGGATGGCGCAGCTCAGCCCCTTTATGAGTAGACTCTACCAAGGGAAAAAAAAAACAGCCTACACGCCATTGTGCAGGTCAATCCTTCAATGTGCAAGATAAAACAAATAAATCAATCTAAATGAACTACTCTTGCATTACATTTGCATCTAAAAAAATATTTAAATATCTCTTTACAACATATTTTCTTCTGTCTTTCATATATATTTATTGGCCAATAAACAACTCAACTCAACTCAACTTTATTTATATAGCGCTTTACCACAGCACAGCTGACCAAAGCACTTAACATATCATACAAATATAAAAAAAACACACATAAAAAGCTATAAACAGTAATATAAACACTAACACTACAGACAGAGTCTCATTCCTGGTCAAACGCCAATGAATACAAGTATGTCTTCAGATAAGACTTAAAAGTAGACAGTGAGGGGGCCTGCCTAATATAAAGTGGCAACGCATTCCATAGGTTTGGACCTACCACAGCAAAGGCTCTATCCCCCCTAGTTTTCCGCCTGGCCCTCGGTGCCTACAGAAGAAGATGATCT